GGGGGGGGGGGGGAGGTGGAGGGGGTAAGTCACAAATCTTCAGCAACTATCACCTCTACCCGTCGCTGTGCGCATCCGAGGACTCTGTTGGATTTAAGTGCAACTCACCGGATTTCCGACTGCACCACTCCCCCCTGCTATCCCACCATCAGATTGCGGTCCGCAATCTTCCACCCGGTAGTTTCATATGTATTACCAATGTCACTAGTTAACAGTGGAAGGTGTGTGTGCATGGGAAGCAGATTCTGTCGGTCATCAAGTCCATTGTTGACACAATCTGTCTAGGTGATGACGACAGATGCCCACAGTTTCACACCCACCCACCCAGCCGTGCAACACGCACGCGTGGCCGCGTTGGTGAGTCGCAAACAACTGACTCGAAAAACAAAATAAGTAGATGGCTGAGGAAAATGAAACCAGGGCATTCTTAAAACAGCAGAGTTTACGTCACAGACAACTGGTTGAACTGTGGTGTCCCCCAAAATTGTACCCACAGTCCATCTTTTCCATCTTCTATTGTTGTGAGTACAATTTTCTCAAAGTTTGCTTTTGTGATGCAGCACAGCCCGAAAGGCAATCTCGGTTCGGAAATGTATGACCATTAAGCATACCGTAGAAAATGCTTGTTTTTAATGGAAATTGAATCAGAACAAAGTGCGTGTTAGTCGCTTCCGCAGTCCGTGCTTCAGTTTTGCAATACACTATCGCGGTTCGGCAAAATCTCTCAGGTGACCACATGTGATAGTATGCTGGCCGTAAGCCCATTAACGTGTTAGTTGACGCGGTCACGTCCGGTACGACTGGACCGAAAGAATAGGTCTGTTCGTGTTATTGTTTGTCACACTGACACGTGATAGCAAATTTTCCTAAAGGTTGGCTTCTGGCATTCATATAAATGAGCGATATAATTGGCGATTGATCGCTGCCTACTGATAGCCAGTTCTCATCACTCTGTTCGGAAATCTGTACCCCCTCCCAGAGCATTTTGATCGAAAGAAAAAAAGCACGTGGAATTATTCAGTTCTCATTGAATGGAGTAATTCAAATAGAGCATGGATTGCCAGTTTCAACATGAATTGTGGAGTGGGCACTTGGACAAGCGCCAGCGCTAAATTACGAGAAGAGAGGAGGTAAATCGTTCCTTGGGGTCAGTATCGATTACAGCGGGCCAAAAGCCATGGCTATCGAACACAACAACGAGAGGGCATGATAGCTCGATTCAATCGAGTCGAACTCTATACATTCCTATTGGTAAAATCAACGATAAGAAATTGATAGCCTATGGTGCATTTTCCGCGGCGGCTGGCAATCCGGGACAATGACCAAAGTGTGTTGGCCCGTATACACACACACACACACACACACACACACACACAAAATTGGAATGTTTCGTTTTGCCCCTTTATCATCATCAAGTCGATGAGTAGAATAGCATTTTCACAACAACAAACACGACATAGATCACAAAGTTTTGGGTAGATTGTGGTGGATTCGGATGCCCACTGCGATATTCCCGTTATCGAGAGTAGATTCAATCACTAAGTGACCCTACAATTTTGGCGTGCACTGTCTAGATGCCAGGTTCATTTGTAAGCAATTCACATTGTCCGCTCTGATCGAGCCACTGGTGTACAAAAAGTTCATGTATTCTGAATCGGTGCTTGCTCAATCTGATACAAATGACAAAAGCAAACAAACAAACAAAGGAAATTCGTAGATTTTCCCTCAAACTATTACACTTCTCCAAAATAATTCACCGTCTGAAAGTATGCTGCGGTGTTTATCAAAATGCAAACCAGCCAGCCGAAATACACTGATCCCGTTTTCTCCCCCGGCATATTGGTGCCTATGTATGCGAAATCAACTGTCGATTACCGGTCAGATTGATTTGCATGGCAGAATTTTGGTTTATGAGGCGAAATTGATATGTGTCCATTGAACACGTATTCTGTCGAAATGCTATGCTGACTACCACATGTAAAAATCCGCATATTTGCAATACATGGAGTGAGCTCGTGAATACTGCCAGTTGGACAGGCATAGGCCGTGGTCAACATATCGTGTGTCCACTTCCGGAGGGAGAAGCGGATTGTTGATAGGAGTGAAGCCATACACGCAACGACTATGGGCGTTTGAGTTTACTTCTTTGTTGATCCATTTTTGTCAGACAGATAGAAAATCAGCCAATAAGGATTGGCTCACAGAGACTGACAATGGAGCACATTAAACTGCGTTGTATCGATCAGGAGATTGAGTTCGAATTCGGTCGTCTTTCCCCATTTTCGTTTTGTTCCCCAGAAGACCCTTGATTAGCCGTTATCGGTGTTCTCGAAAACCGACTGTATAAAAAGAAGTAACAGGGTTATTATTATTGAGTGCAGTATGCTTGATCTTGTGATTCAAGAACTGATTGATTCAGGATAGTCAAGATTCATACGTCGATATTCTTCAGGGTGAATAGATGTCGGCTTAAACCAAAAGTTCGAAAGTGGTCCATTCGATTACAAACATTGGTGATCACATATCAAAGTTTGAGGTGGATTTTCGAATAAAGTCGTTTTGTTGTCTGTCATACGCCTGTTCCCTCCTTATAGAGCATAAATTAATTACGACCAAGGTGTACGAGGCAAAACGTTAGGTCCAGTAAATTCATCATTGCGCTGATTATGTTTCGAAATGTTTATCAAAACACCATTGTCCAGTTCATCGGAGTAGTAAACTCTGTTCATCGGTAAATGCTTCATTCTTTGATGAATTGCAATAATTACTGCCTGATTATTGATCAATTTTAAGGCAGCGATGAAAAGGCGGTGAATATAATCACATTGAACTGTAGATCACACGTGTTTGGATTCCGTCGGTACCATTCGACCGGGGCAGTTATTCCAGTTCTCTCTAAAAATTGGATTACGATAATGATATGAAACTCATTCTCTAATAAAAAAATATTTTTCTAGAACAAAAAGTTTGAGATGCAGTGGTTCTACCGAAACTGTCACTTAAAACAATCCCTACTGAATTTTGATTTTCACATATTGCTTCTTCACTTACATAACTAATCACCCGGACCATTCACTTTTAACGTAAACCAGAGGAGCTTCGATTTGGTGCCAAACAACTCAGTGATTTGACTCAACGCGTCCTATAATCTGGTTTGAAGTACCTGAAATATATACTTAGTTCTTCACCTGTTTTCGCAGGGGCCACAAAATCTATTTCAAACCACTCACTATCCCGTTTCTGTCATTATCACATTAAGCTTTGCTTTTAGAAGCTTGTCGATCTGGTCTGTCCTCCGTCTGTCTTTGTTCCAGAGAACTGGTTATAAGTATCAAGCCACACCAAGCGACTCTGAAAGGCAGTTGAGCGAAGGCATTCGAATTAGCTTTTCTTTCCCAAGGTGTTCGGATTTACCGATCATCCTCACACCTGCGCTGAGCCAAGATTTTGTGTTTTAAATGAAAGTTCCCTCATTCCCATTGTACAAGAGTCTTTACTATCAGGGGTATTACTCCTTTATTGTACCTGCCATGTAATAAAAAAATAGCTGTAAAAACTAATTGTTTTACCAGAGTAAACCCTGTGATACACAGGAATATCAATAGACCGCAATTGTCACTGGTTAATTGAAGTCCGATGTTGTGTTGAAAATATGCCACACTTGCCGTTTCAAATATTAAAATCAGACATTTTTGAAGTCCAACTTTCTCTATCACAGGATTTTCCCTGTATTGTTTTATCGCTCCCCTCTATTTCAATAGGTAATAATTAGTACACAAATTTCCGGGTTGAAATTATCAAAAAACCCAAGCGGGCACTAAACGCTGGTCGCACTTTGTCCTAACCTGGTTTCCTCGCAATGCGTCAGATACGCATCTCCTGCTAGCTGTCTGGCTCATATTTACAACAAAATTGAGAGAGAGTGTGGGATTTTGCATGACAAGAATCGATCACCATACTGTCGGTCGTTCTCGCATAGATCATGAAACTAAAACAATTGAAAGCTGACTACTAAAATTACTGTTAGTAGCCAAACGGGAAACGGAAGAAAATTTATGAGGTGCACACATGGGAGGGATATTAGCAATTCAGCCACGCCTAACATATTCCCTCCACTGAATAAAAGTTTATCGGTTAATCATATTCAAAGTGGATAGAGAAATCATAACTGATGAGCTGCACATTAGCTCAATGGTATGTTGCACGAGCTGCATTTTTTAATACAGATTTATTTGGATCAGACTAAAATGTTGCGCCAGGATGAGCCAATGTAGTTTCAAATACACTGAGAGTGATTAGGTCCACTGGGATATGCGATGATGCTATAGTCGTCTACGAAACGTCGTAATCCATAAAATTGTATATCCTCAATAGCTTTAGTATTCTTTCTAGCTTTGATCAACTATGGTAATCTGGTTAAGGTGCTAGACGGTTTTGAAGTTCTAGGTTACCATATTGCTGACAAATGATTATCTTATATTCCAATATTCCCCAGGAAAGTGTTAGGGTATGAGCTAGGACGACGAGAATGACAATGATTATATGTAAATACCAGAACCAGTCAAATTTAAATTGTTAAATGAACATTGAAAGACTCCAAAAGTGTGAAGATATTCTCTTTTGAAAGTCACTAGGTTCAACGGGATATTGATTTTGTGATATCGAGGTTTTCGAAGCGAGTAAATCGGTGGTCTCTTAAGCTCGAGGTGTATTATTCAATTGTGATTTTGGGGGATAAATTTCCTTAAAAATCGTTAGGATAAGGCTGATTTCGGATGGAGATACGCCCCTTAAAACAAATAAAACGTGGAGGAAACGGATGCCATTTGGCAGTTCATTGGTAACGACAAGCAAAATAGAATCGTGAAGTTCGGCACATGATAGATGTGTGCAAACTCCCTGGCCGAGCAGTGAAAACTGAGGCGCTATGTTTATTGTTGTCGTTCTGCATCTTAAAACACGTTTGCAAGTGGGCGATCTGATTGAACACGCGGATCTATACCATCCAAGGTGAATTATTTATTCACCGGTTATCAGATGTCTGGATACACAACAGCGAAAAGTAGTTGGTCCACTTGTTTCATACCCATTATCCAGGGGGGGGGCAGGTGTCTTGGATTGTGACTGGTCATTGTTCATCCTCGCCTCACTAAATGCTGCTATACGACCAAGTGCCTCGGATGGTCTATACTGAGGTAACCCTGTTCACGTGACAGTATTTTCTCAACCAAAGTGGAATGGAAAGTCAACATTCGGATTGATGAATCACTAACAGGTCACCTGGGGGAGGTGGCAAACAATTCTGATTCTGGCAGTGCTTACCGATTTGATTGGACGTCGTGGTGTATCGGACACCTTGGTCATTTGACGTACGACCCCATTAACTAGACATCAGTCCACAGTGGATTAGGGTTTTCAAACACCGATTCTCTGCCTCACGCATCAGGCTTCGGTTGTGAATCCTCAACGAAAATCCACTCACTTTGGTCTGGGCCATTTGGTTTTAGTTCATATCCTTCCCCGAGCGGATCATGGACCGATTTCATTGTTATACCAAGATTTGCTTGACACATCATTTTAAATCGAGAGTAGTGGAGTTAGTTTAACTATACAGTGGAATTCGTCGTGTAAAGAGTAAATGAAGCGTGAACTGATAAGTTAGGAAGCACTGGACGGCTATTTCGACCTGATTGGGTCTCATTAGCATTGCGAACTCATCGACCCAACTGAGGATTGAAATCGGGACCTCACATTATGGAATGCAAGCACACTACTCACTCGAATAGTGGGCAGATGATCAGACCGTTTGTTTCTTCAACACTGTATAACACAATCCATCTTTGCGAGTTTATTTCGCAGATCGCTTATCTCAGCGCTGGGTCGTGACTCGACTGCTTGCGTTTTACCTAAGAGGTCCCGAGTTTGATAAATTCGCACTGCTGATGGGACGCAACCAGGTCGAAACAGCTTTCCAGTTCACGCTTCATTTGCTCTAGAGTCGACGAATTTCACTATATAGCATAATTTGAACTCATATAAGTGCTTCGATGGTTTGCCCGACCACCCAGCGTCGCATATGTTCCAGAAGGCTCTCTAGTATAATATCCCCTTCATTCTGCGCACACATTAGAAGTTGCAGTTTTTTGTCTGTCAACAAACAACCAAATGACATTTCACCAAGTAGAATCTTCTTTAGAAGTCTGAATGTAAGTCTTCAGTGATTTCCACACCGATACAGAGATATCCCAGTTCAAATGTTGGGCAAGAATGAAGTTGTTGGCTTGATTCTGTCAGCGTTTGGCTACATGGCATTTATTCTAAGAAAGAAAAAACAGACGTTCACTAAAAATATTCATCGATGATTTGATTGATGCCTTCTCGTTGGTGATGAGTTCAAAACAGGAGCAGATTTTGTCATAGCAGAACAGAAACCTGTTCACCAGAACGTGACATTATTCGAACTATCTTACTCTCTTCGCCACATATAGGATCACTTGATTATGGGAACAAGATCGACAGAACACATAGTGAATAGTGTCCTCCAAGAATGGAACCAACTGTGGCACGGGAGGAATACGATTGCCAGTGCTAATCAGGATCGTGATGGTCCATGGGGTTCGAACGTTCATCAATCTATGATGCTCAATATCAAACCAGAAAGTGGTTCAACTGGGACAGCTTCCAACAACTGGCTAAGAAATCCGGGTAATAGGATTCTCCACAAACTAGTTTCTATCTTGAGAACATTGACGCCGGATCCGTTCGAATGGAACTGCCTAAAGGCACTAATCCTGTTCGATGAACGTGAGTTTGACTATTCTAAAGCTCAGACTTTCTACATTCAACCATAACCACTATACATTAAAAATACCACTGTTATACTTTTCCCGCGTTTGAGTCCAGAGTGTGTTCAACAGATCGCGATGCAACACTCTTTATAACAAAGAAATCAGTCCAAGATATATTCGCGGGCTGGATGTCGATGGGTTGCCCAGGCAGGAGCAGGTAAGTTTTCGCTGGGAATTTATGACCGGAGCCGCCGTATAGCCAAAGCCTGCAGTGACAAAACAATAAGGATAATTGTAATGAGTAGTAGTGGGCAAAATTTCCCGGAAGCATACGACCGATTTCTCGGTCCTTGCCGCTCGTCAGGTATGCGCATCTGGTTACTCTTATACTTGAACTCCCGATGTGAGCTATGCAGTGCAAATCTCATTTGCGGCTCGGGGAGTGGATTTGAGACGAACAAGTCTCGAGGAATCATTGCGATGAATCTCTATCAGGTGTTGTGATAACCTGGTTAGCGTCAGAACAGCTGAACTGAGATACTTTGCCGTCGTTCCCTATTTTGAATAGCTTGTCTAATTTTGATACAGACTATTTCGCTGACCTCCGGTGTTGGGATTCGACAATTCCCTGATGCATGATGCAACCGGGAACAAGGCACCAATCTGTACTTAGCCGTACAAAGGCTAGAAGTGCATCCTTAGAACAAAAAAGCCAAGTGACACTGGGGAAGTGAGGTTGGCTTATTTTCTCCCAGGACTTAGCTGCAGTAAAGTGAAGAAAGCAATGGTAAGCAGTTAGTACTAGAGTGCAAACACGGAATTCATCGCCAAGTTACTATCTCTTTTTCGAGCACAGCACTGTCAACATAACAGGAAAATAGCTGCTACGTTGTTGTGGAGAATTGGACACAGTAAACACGAATTGCAGAAGAAATTACCTGCATACGAGTTATAGAGGACCTATCTCTTGCACACGAATCCATTTCAACAGATTTAACATTTTGAATGCTTGCTCGGTTTGGTTGGTGGAAAGGAAACTCGAAGAGAAAGCATTTTACCTGCGGATTAGGTGAATGCGGAGAATAAACTGTACTCTAATTTCACAAGCGAGATGCTCTGATACCCACTGAGTTATGTGACTCGCCAAGCTTTAAGCATTTGACCACAATTACCGCGCGCGCGCGACTATACAACAATGAGAGCCATAGATAACGACGTTCAAGCGGATACAAATAATTCGGACTCCAGTATGGATAACGCACATATGGTTGGGCGTTATCGTATCAGAGATACTAGCAAACGATTACTAGCTGAATGTCAGAACAGAAATGTGTACGATGACCGATTTTCTCTACAAACACATTTCATTTTAGCCATTTCAAAAGGAACGACCGTGCTGGAATGCGTAGTTCGGACTACTCTCATCGAGCACATTACAGGCCAAGTTCGGGCGAGAAACCCCAATTTCGCTGAAGAATCGACGGCCATGGCCATTGTGTACCAAGTTGCGTCTCGGATTTCCAAATTGCTTCAGGCAACGTTTCTTCTGTATCAACTGGTCAAAACAGTCCGGGTTGAGCTGAACACAGGGACCAATTTGGAAAACCGTCCGTCCTAATAGCACAAACACTGTGGTTCAACTCAGCCATCAAAGAATTGCTTGTCGAACTCCCTCACGTACTATGTATGTATCTAGGATCTGATTGCCTATCCACCAGGAAGTGGGACCAATTGTGGTACTATTTTTACATTCCAATATAATACTATGGTACATGTTTCTTTGCATCTTTGTTATCCGTGATCTGGCTTGTGCAGAGGGTCACGTTTGAAATAGGCGCGATCATTGATTGCCATCTGGGTGACAAGCTGACCGAATCAAATGAGAGGACAGCACGAAGATAGTGTGTGTGTGTGGGGAGAGAAATATTCCGGGAGAACTGCCATGAGAATTTATTTTCAACGTAAAAACCACTACAGTTCGAAGAGGAGGGGGAATCATCAGAATAAGCTAGGTAAAAGAAGAGTGAGCGAATGAGGACTCGCTCGTTCGAGAATGATACAACTACAGCCATAAATGAGTCTTCGGAAGGTCACGAGCAAAGTTCCTCTTGCCCAAAAATGGATTGAACATAATATTCAGCTTGCTGTGAAATCTCGGATTGTACGCGGGCGGATAACAAGTTCGGGGATCCTGATGCAAAAAGATGAGCGGTAGTAGATGAATCAGCAAAAAATCGAGGAGGCGAGGATGAACAATTGAAGAGTGCAAAAAGCATCCAATATGCAATAAAAATATCACAATCACTGAGAAAATTCCCAAATATCTTATCCTTACATCATATCCGAGTGAAATTAAGCTGCTTATGGAAAAATGCTTCACCAGTCTCCGTACGGTTTTACTTTCAGTTGACTGAAGCGCTTTGGGACTTAGATTAAAAATAGAGCCTCAGATCAGATCATGGAAAAGCTTGCGTCCTACTACAGCAATCCACTGTAGAGCGAAAATCGTCTGGAATGACCAAATTTGTTCGCTTTAAAACTAGCACAAAACACATCGTGATCTTCTGAATGATATAATTGGGGTTTATCGCTCTTGAAATAGGGTATGAAACAGACACTCGTCAGCAGTTCCTGTTCATCGTTTCCACCGTAAAGTGATTTACGAGTTGTTGAATCTGTTGTACAACTATAATTACTCATTTATCTGATTAGCACAGTAAATTTCGCACACTAATGTTTAGTTACCCATGACGTCTCGGTACCGCGAGTTAGGGGAATAAGTGTCGAAACCACACAGCATATTTTAACAAACCATTTAACTAACACTCCGGATGCGTTTGTTTATCGTAATTTGCTCATTTTTGTGCGACTGGTTCACATGTTTCATTTTTGCAATAAACGAAAAGACATAATCAGATCAGAAAAATAAAATTTCTGGAAAATCTCAAACTACTCAGGCCACCTGGTAAACTTATCCAGTGAGGTGAGAGGGCCAATGTGAATACAGTAGAAGTAGCATCAAAAAAGAGGACACTTACCATTTTCAGCACGGCAATCTGCATTTCATGATCATCAAAGCTGTAACAGCCTTCGCGCATATCAATCGGCATGACTACTTTTCGAAAATGTCTTGCAAAACTGGTTTCGGCATCCGAAAAACTGAATAAATAGAAAAAAGCAATACAAACGGAGGTCTACTCAGCCAACGAGAAAAGGGAAGGCGTCAAAGTAAAGCATTGCATTGAAAATTAGCCTCCTGTTACACAAGAGCATGGTTGTGATAAAAGGTATAAAATTTCCTTTAGAGTTACCGATAGATGATCTAATCAAAATTAATCAAAACTTCTTTAGAAATTCAATTCTGGCTTGGTGCCGGTGTACACATGATCTAAAGTTGTAAAATATTCACGTCCATGCAAAGGAATAAAGTGAAAACGCGAAATTTCTTTTCCATGCACGGACCGCTTCTGGCATTTACATATAGCTTGATCATTCACCAGATTACTTAAGCTGCTGTTGGGTGAACTCGAACGTGCAAAATATTCGCTTGACAACAAGCCATGAGGTCATAAGAAATGGGTAAAGAAAGACAGTGCAAAAACTGCATGGGATAAGAAAGACGTAATAAAACAGGCAAGAAATTAAGAAAAAGTCAGCAGCCAGTGACTTTCCCCTATCGTCCCGTAAACATTTCTTTAATTTACTGGTTCAACCAATCGTGAGATCTAGACAATGTGACCGAGACTCCACCTTGATACTCTCATCTCCCATGTTATTATTTTCCGTTTCTCCTTTGGATCGCTCTAGTTCTTCCGTTTTTAACATCCTATCTGCCGTATTTGGTATGTTCATGTAATTGAACAAAAATATTATCGTCGATGAAGTATTTATTCGTCTGATACCCGATTCATTAGCCGCAAAGTTTACCACCGTCAATAGTCTATCCTAAATGATTTACCTTCCCTCAGGCGCATCCACGACCGTTCTGGTATGCACACACACGATCTTGGTTTAACTTCCAACTTGTTGTTCTCAAAACCTTCACCGTCGTTCCCAAACTGGAGCATCGAAACACTGTCAAACTCTATTAAACGTTTCTACTACATCACCTCAGATTCAGCAACTGTCAAGCGCACGTTTTAGCGTTACAAATCCGCTGATTGATATATAGTGGGATGTTCCAGCGTCATGTTAATGGAATTCTGCCAATTCCTCATTGAATGTACTCAAGCTTCTTAAAATTGCCGATGTTATTCTACTCTCTGTATAACTTTTCAATCCCATTACTCTAGATCCGGTCAACCCAACTCTCCCGAGTTGTTGAGTTCTTTATATATATACGTAAAGCAAATTTGTGGCTCGGGAGTTGATTTGAGATTAACAAGCCTTGAAGAATCATTGCGATGATTAACTATTAAGTGTTGCGGGTTAGATGCAGCTAACCTCAGCCAACTGGACGCTATCGCGAACTCTCTCGTGCTCCAAAGTCTTTGGAGAACCCTTCTTCTACTCTCTCTAGTTCTTCCTATAGCTGCACAAATCGTACGAGATACCTAGCGTTTGTATCACTGTGTTCAAATAGTAAGGTCAATCAGTTTCCGTTTTTACGGCCTTTACCGTGCACCGGTTTTGGTTTCTGTCTTTTGACCACCCATTTGGATAAAAGAGCAGAATGAAGATAGGAACGTTGAAAGCAAATTCAAGCGGAACATACCGAATTCATATAGACAAAGGTTTTGTATTTGTATAACTAGTGTAAGCATATATGCTTACATTTCAGTTTAAGATGTACACTATTGCAAGAATAATGAGTAGATGCTGCAGCGCCACTGTTTGCGACATGCCCAATTGCTCAGTGTCTCTAGCCATCAGTGACCATGATCTTGGGGTCCCCAGTTAGGGAGCCTAACGGGACCTACACATGACCTAGTCCCCTGGTTAGGGTTTTCATACCCTCAAGCCAGGTCTTCGTTTGACCGTCCTTGACCTTTTTCCAACCGCTACCTGCCTCGGCAAACATCGCTCGCTGTGGCAACCTATTTGGTGACATGCGCAACACGTCTCAAACAGCNGGAGATCCACACCGAACATGGCTACGCTGGCACTCAAACTATAGAGAAAAGCTGGCAACTTAACTGGATCTTCACTTGGTAGCACAATGTTGTCTGCAGACTCTAGATCAGACAGTCTACCACCTGGGATTAAATCGATACCGCTATCCTCGCACGAGGATAAGGCTGTTTCAAGAATTAAATCTATCACGAAGTCAAATAGAAACGGAGAGAGAAGACAACCCTGTCGAAGACCACTTTCTGTAGTGAACTCGGGCGAAAGTGTCGTAAGCTCGGACTCGGCTATTAGTATAAAGGGATTGTAAGATAAAAATAAAATTCTCGGGCACACCCTTCAGGGAAAGGCAGCGCCAGAGTTTGGAGCGGTCGACTGAGTCGAAAACCGCTTTTAGATTGAGTAAGATGGAAATGATGGGTCTACGAAAGGAGTGTCTGTGTTCGAGAATTTGACGAAGAGTGAAGATGTGGTCGAGACAACCTCGACCAGGTCTAAAACCGGCCTGGTTCTCACGCGTGTACTCTTCAGGTGCGGCAGACAATCGACGGAGTATGATGCCGGCGAGAAGTATTGAGGCAATGTTGATTAAACTAAGGTTAACCAACCAGAAGTTAACAGATTTTTGAAACCCTGTTGCATTTAATGTTCACATACTATCAGACTGGTCAACAAGCTGCCCTAGCTAGAGCTTTGGGAATTTTCAATTTAGATGCATACTGTGGCTTCGAAAAACGTCATCAACTTACGATCTCCAGATCTGAACTCAGGCTCAGGTTTGAAAATTGGTGTGAAGGGCGCACCAACCACCAACTTCTCGCACAAGAAACGACATCGCCTTACATGGGAATCATCAACCACTTCACGGCGATGGGCTTAAATGGACCACATCGACATCAACTACCGATGGTGAGGATCCATTCAAGACTGCCGCTCCTACTGGTCAAAGCCCGTGGACACGGACCATACTCTGATACGAGTCATATTCTCCATGTGTCTGGTAAACAACCACAGGAAAATCACCGGAAACGGACGCCCACGACACAATGTCAGCGATAATTACAAATGCGCCTTCGAAGCGGAATTCTCTGATCGCCTTCCAGCTCAATCATCAGCCGAGAGATCCGGTGAACACTGGACAGTAATCTAGGAAACAATCCAACTGTTAATCAAAACAACAGCGGATTCTGGCGCACCATCAAAACATACGATGGATCTCCTCGACCTCGACTGTTCCGCTGGACGCTCGCAAAGCCATCCTTACGACAAACCGTGCAAATCCCTTAAACACCAGCTCATCAAGAGCCCGAGAAATTACCGCGAGAAGTGTAAAAAGACGAAGGTTTCGGCTATCGGGAATAGTCGCAACATTTGTCGACTAATTATGAGTACGGGCCCAAGGAAAGTAGGCGTATTTGAGGTCATTATGGAGTCTGGTGGCACAGTGATTCATCACCAGCAGCGCCGTCTTGAACGACGGGTAGAACATTCTAAGGTTCAGTTCCGCTGGCCCAAGTCGAAACAAAAAAAACCATATACCTGCTTCAGCTGGGCAAATACTCCAAATGATGATATCAGTACTCCATCTGAAATGGAGGTTATCCGGGAAATCAGTCATCTTAAAAAGGTATTAGGCCTCCGGCCCGACAGGCTGTCCCCATCGGTTTTTAAGGCGGAGGTTCAGCATTGCTCTGGGAATTAACAAAAGGGGGAACAGGTTCTAACTGAATGGTGTGAATCGGTCATCATACCGATTTACAAGTGAGGCAACAGATCTGGTGAAAACCACAGGGAATCAGTTGAATCAACATCGTTTATAAACATTTCGTCGATTGTCTACCGCACTTGAACGATGCATGTGCGAGAACCGAAATAGTTCTAGACCTGGTCCAAATTGTACAGATCA